CACGGACGTTCCCTTTGTAGACCTACCATTTCTATCTTCCTCGATCTGAAACGGGCTTTCAATTCAGTCGATCGCTCAAAACTAGCACTGCATCTCTCTGAAGGATGTGCCCGAGAAGTTCATTTCTATTTTGCGATCTCTTCATGGTAACAGTCGAAGCTGAATCCGAGCTTACGGCGCCTTCCCGCCCGAGTTTACCACAGAAAGTGGTGTTCGACAGGGTTTCCCTCTCTCGCCGTTTCTATTTAACTCAGTGATGCATTTAATTATTGAAATAGCCCTATCCTCGTTCGAGGATAGCGGCATCGATTTAATCCCAGGTGGCAGACTGTCTGATCTGGAGTATGTTGACGATCATGTTCTGTTAAGTGAAGATGCAGGTAAGTTGCACCTTCGAAATGCAAAATTTTGGTAGAGGATTGGGTTGGTCTAGCCCCCAACCTCACTCTAAATGGGGAAATAATAAAGGAATTGGACAAGTTTTGTTATTTGGGAAGCATCATCTGAACTGTCGAAAGCTTCACACATGTAATGTCGGCACGCATAGAGAAGGCTTGATTGACATTTGCCAACTTGAGACGTCTGTGGCGCCGTCGGGTCATCCGGCTTTCTGTAAAGGATGCTGCAGCAGTTCGGTGGTGGTGGTGCAGGGGTTTAGTCGCTGCCACCAGTGTGCTTTGGACCCCATGGTCCGAAGTTCGAGCCCTTCCACAACCGCCCAGCTTTGGTAGTAGACATCTTTGCTATCACCCGGTTCTATACCATGCCTAACCTAGCGGTTCCTTATGTGGTTCTCCACTCCAAGTCCCGGGCTTAGGTTACCGGTCACCTTTATTGAACAACAGGTCTTCATAACTATGAGGTTCCACCTAATCTGCTTTCCATCACACCATTGTGTAATGAAAAATAGTTCTACCGATACAGCCTTCCGGCGTGATTACGGTGCCCAATACACCTCGATGCCCAGTCGAGCCGGTGACCATTGCACACAACCGTAAAGGTGTGAGTGTGTTTCGTACGCCTCCTCTTG